GCTAATTCGCAGGCACTAGCACGCACACCAACATATGTACGCTTACTCACACATACGCACTTACACCAACATACGCGTACACACACACACACACACACACACACACACACACACACACAGAGACAGGCACATATGAGAAAAACCTGATTACATCATGACCATCATGGCATTCCCTATGTATTTATACATATTGTGTGAGGGATTGGTATTAAAACAGAACTCAGCTATTTCTGAGACAGTTGTTTCATCAACAGAATATATATTTTCATGAAACAAGACGTAAGACACAAATTCCTAACTGATATGCATTGCAATCGTTAAATTTGTCAAGACACCCGAAAGCCTCTGCAGCAGTTGGATGTGACTTGTCGAGACACGTATCACTTTCACCAAATACCGAGAGTAACGGAGATTTTCAACGACTTAACGGCAATTCACTGTATAGATATTTTCCGATCAGAATAACTAACAGAATTATGTCTGCATTTCTGGAACCGGGCAGCGATTGCATTCAAACTTGTTTCCTAATAGTAAGCAGGTTGTTGACACGGGCAAAAACGCCTTTTGTAATCAAAATGTCTCTGTTGATGAATGGCCACAGCGATCCCAGTCTGAGATTCGCTAGGCTGTTTATCTTTTTACGAACCGATTGAATTAAAATGTAAAGATTGATTCGACGTACATGGCTCGAGGAAATCTCGAGAGACATCTTAATGCATCGAGTTAAAACGGTCAATACCAAGGCAGGAACTAGCTCTCTCTTGGCGTATCTATACAATCGGAAACAGTAATGATTTGTGCATTTTACTGGGAACTCTCTGTGTATCTCTACATGATTTATCATCCTTGATATGGATTTAGTATAAATGCGGGAATAAATGAGGCTGTATTTCTTTCAGATAAACTAACTGTGTAGTTTGATTGATTGTTTCAGGCATTTTGGCCGCAGGCCTAGAGATTAATGGGCCCTAAAATGGGCCATTGGTCTAAGTCTATGTGACAATATGTAAAACTGGCCAAAATGATGTCCTTTACGAAAATATTGACCGGCGTACCATGATATATCTTCCTGTGGCCTGCGAATAATTTAATTAACTTATATTGTGATTTATTGTAATATTTAAGGTATGTGAATTGTTTAAGAATTGTTCTGAGGCTATAAATCTGATATTGTTTTCATCATATGGCGTCAATTCAGTAAGAAGGAAAGAGAAACTTTTCCTCTAGATCTTGAAGCGATCCTTTAATGGAGGTCTGCCATAATGATGTTGTTTCGGTTGGAGCTATGTGTTTACGACGCGAGAGCAATTCTACATGGATTAATTAAATAGGGCTTTTTTATAAGAATTGATATAAGAGAGCGGGCTTAGAGAGGACAATGGTTGTTTATACGAATCGTATATATTGTAATGTGCGCATGAGCTACGCAAGCTATGCCTTTACTGGTGAAGTTGATGACTCGTTTCTGAAATTTCCCAACGATGAAGTCTCAAGCGTATTTTCGTCCTCAACATTTATCACACTGCAATGGACGTTCAAAACAGTCTTGAAGAAATCCATCCATATCACCTTCCCTTTGGCGTCCCATATTCCCCAAAGACGCATTCTTACTTCAAAGGGGAAATTCAGACATCTTTATACGAGGAAAGCCTCATCTGTCTGGCAACCCGACATGCACTGCTCCTTCCGGTGCCTCGCTTTGACATATTCTGTGGCTACAACTGCGTCACCGCTGTGCTGTTTGGGAATGAGTGACGGGATGATGAACAGGGCTAATGTACGTCCTCCATCTTAAAGGAGGTCAGTCACACGAAAGAGACAAACGATGACTGAAATACGCTGGAGAAATTGCTTGTGTTGACCGTTGTAAAGCAACCATGCCCACGAAACCTTATTGTTGTATTTTTGGCAGACAGAAAGTCCTTCAGTTTATTCACTCACTGAATACCGGCAGGTTGCCTTGACACAGCAAGGTATACACAGCTATGTGTACGCTTTCCGCTTTTTCTGAGGATCAAATCTGGCTGACGCGCTTCTTGTCACTGGTAGCAGCGGTAGCCAAAGACATCCACTGAAGTAATCGAACCTGCTTGGCAGACTGTCGGTATCAACAGGACCATTTGGTAATCACAACTAAAAGGTAGACAGCAAGCGTACATTGGATTTTAGTAGTTAGTTGATATAATTGTTTAACGCCGCAATCAGCAATATTCTAGCTATATGGCGGCGGTCTGTAAATAATCAAGTCTGGACCAGACAATCTAGTGATTAACATCATGAGCTTCGATCTGCTCAATTGGGATACGATGTGTCAACCAAGTCAGTGAGCCTGACTACCCGATCCTGCCGCCTATTACGACAAGCTGAAGACCAATTCTAACCCGGATCTTCACGGGTGGATCAATAGTTAAACAACTAGTCATGAATAGAAAAGGAATTCAATATGAAGTTCTGGAGGTCCTCCAGCGTTTCGGAGTCGTTCAATGGCGTCCTTTAATACGTAATATCCCATTCGTCCATTCCAACTCCTTTCTCTTAAATATGAAACTGTACCACAACAACTGGTAACGTGTCTGCAAATGCTTCTGGAACGCATCAAAATAGCATTCCATCATTTAATAGATGAATAAAAGTGCATGTTCTCAAAAAGTTCCTTTTCTGTAAATCCATTCGTGGTTGTAGATTGCTTGTGACGCGTGGCTGGCATTAAACATGTAAAGCACCCTGTACGCTGAACCTTTCATCCTTTGCGTTTTTGTATACGTCTCCTTTGCTTCAACAGACTTGAATGACACGAGCAATATTGCTAAGTACATATTTCTTAGTTGTCACAGTATCAGTTTTCTGGTCCATCAGTGGTTGGGACATCAATAGACAACGAGGCTAATATGGACAAAAGTGCCTTCAGGTCAATACTGCATCTTTATGATGGGATAAATAATTCATACTTGAAACCGACAAAGAGATTTACTTCTAAAATAAGCAATGTAACCAAATGACATTGGAAGGAGTGTTTTACCCTCAGACTTCCTCCATATTGAAGATGCTCTGTGGAAGAAGATTTCAAACAATCAGCTTGGGTAATAAGATGCCATATGCCATCGACGTGGACGTGTGTCATGAATCGTCACCTTTTCTGGCCATTAACAGAAAAGCTTTGTTGTTTTGGGATTCTTTGTTTGTATTTTTGTTTTGTATTTGCGTTTTTGGTTTGTTTTTTATGTTGTTGTTTTTTGGGGGTGGGGTTGTATTTGTTGGGTTGGGGTTATCTTTTTTTGGGGGGGTGGTCTTTGTTTATGTTTTGTTTTGTTTGGGTTTTTGGGGTGGTTTTTTTGGTTTTGGTTATATTTTATTTTATTTTTTTTTTTTGGGGGGGGGGATCTTTCGTATTCTTGGATTTGTTCTTATTGATGGCTGAATATTTCAGCAATGTGAATAGTCGAGCCTTGGTCAGGAAATCCAGTGGTTGATATGAGCGGAGATCTTTGCTGTAGGGGTACCATGACATGCAATCCAACCACGTCGCCCGAGTCACTCTGTCAACAATGAACCATCTACCTTCTTTAACACTACAATACGTCTTCCTTACCACTGTCCCTGCTGTAACAACCAGATATTCTACCCCTTAATTCCACTAAATATATCCATAACGACGATGATGACGCGACCACAATAACAAGAACATGGTTACCATCAGCAGCAATCATAAATGTCCACATTCATAATTTATTATCGCCATCACCTTCACAATAACCACGACTTAGGCATATCATACCATCACCACGTTATCTTTGTGAATACATCAATTGGATGCCAAACAGGGAGAAGCAAAGATTGAACACAAACGAGTTCTGCAGACACAAACTAAAGGACCTGCAATTGTTTATGTTTGCGTCTTGACAGGAAGAAACAACAGATAGTTTTTTATTCACGCACAGCATGGCACATTTTCTCTGTTTGCTTTAAACTGATCACGTCTATAAATGTATATTATGGAAAGTAGTTCCTTTACTCCTTTACTTGATATTGCATCTTTGCTCAGTGCTGTTGTTTTTGAAATTCTGCAGCGGATATAAGACAGAACTTCACAGAATCTTCAACAGAGGTATAAAAACGATCCCGGTACTGCTGTCGACAGTTGAATGGAAGGGTGATAAAGCACACCAAAGCGCCTAAAAACAAAAGAAAACACGCCATAAACAAGTCACGCATATCGAGCACGTATTTCACTTAGTCTTGGCACTCAGCAGGAGGAATAGGGACCATTCGGGGCCACTTCGGCCACAATTACAGCTGCGTCGGTGTCTGTGTTCATGCCATCCGGAAGTGTCATTCGGAACAACATCGACTATATTCGTCCTTCTTGTAGATAGTTGGGTATCTCGTTATGGCATCTCCTGTGGATGAAGATTGTTCTGTCTACATGATAGCTGTCTATTTCTTTTCACGAAGTAATTTTCCAACTGAAGAAGAATGGAATTGGAAGATGGGAGTATTTAGGATTTTTTCTCCCCTTTCAATCAATGCCACGTTACGGTCTTGCAAGAAAGCTGTGTAAATAAGACGTGGGGTTCTTTTTTATCTACCTTCCGTCTGTGGCAGATAACGTATGAGGTTGTAATGCACTTTGCGCTTCTTAATGTCACTACTTGTGAAGAGCTCTCTATAAACGGAAATCACACATAAATCATATGTCACAACATATGTTGCCAGGAGTTTGGTACAGGCGGGTTCCATCAGTGAATAAATTGGAATATTAATATCAATATTAATATCCGGGGAATATCCTACTTTCCTTTCTCCTTGTATGTATTCTTTCCACACTGCTGCGCCTGCGATGACTATCTATGGCTGAGATGACAAAGAGCCAGAACAATGTAGGATAATGGCTGGATCATATCGATGTAAGTGTATTTCAGGTTAGAGCTGTAACCAGCCAGTTTACGTATAATTACATCTGGCCATGGGCTTCATATATACTGAGAGAAACAAATAAAGGAAAATTCAAGCGTTTCTATAATATTTTCCAGTTTTCATCACCTGCTTTGAATAGCTCTGTTGGAGGAAATCTGCCAGTTTACGTATAATTACATCTGGCCATGGGCTTCATATATACTGAGAGAAACAAATAAAGGAAAATTCAAGCGCTTCTATGATATTTTCCAGTTTTCATCACCAGCTTTGAATAGCTCTGTTGGAGGAAATCTGAGAATAAATAAAGGAACACCGCCATGAAGTGGTGTTCCTTTATTTGTTTCCCTCAGTATATTATGGGCCATCGTTGGCTATAACGTAACATATGAGGCGACATACCTATTCCTACAATCATGATTGTAGAAATAGGTATGTGAAAGCATACAGACAGCAGTATCCATTGTGTACCGTCTATACAAGCATATGTTGACGGTTCATATATCATAGTGATGGAGCCAGCTGGAGCATGAGTGGTAGTAATGAAGACCTCCCATAGCGACTAATGAATATAATAATAATGAATGAATAAGGATAATTACATTCGATGTTTATGTACATCTATGTAACATCAGCAGTCATAGTAGCACATGCTGTAGTTTAGAAAATATAAACACATATTAAATGCCAGATTTAGTGGCTATATACGCATGCATTAAATATCCGCTTGCGGCTTTAATGCGCGTAATCGTTTAGCCCCACATTCCATAGCCGGGTGACCCTATTGACTGTGAAATGTATCAGCGTTTCAATAATAAATGCATATGTTTGTAAACGAGCAATATCTGGATAATACTTGTCTCTTCCTACTTTTGAGATTTGGCATCAGGTTAATGGTTTGTTGTAGATGTTTGGATGACTGAGGTTGATGCCACTTTGAACAGGATTTTAGTACTGTTAGATACTGGGGGACGAAAGACTGAATGGATGCATGTTTATACATTTACCATATAAAAGCACCAGCTGTTATGCTCACACATCGGGAGTCATAATCATGTCGGAACTAGGATCCGAACCCTCCTTCATCCGCTTAAGCTAGGGACGCAACCCGGCATAGAGAATTGAACCGCCTTAGACTCAGGGCAAATGAATGTCTCGGGAGACAGTGACGAATGGTTTCAAGTTTAAGTTCTGTTCTGTTCAAGTTCTGAACTGTTATGAAACCATTTCTTGACTGACAGAAATCACCGAAGTACTGCAAACCTTCAGCATAAAAAGCAAGTGTGATATCGAATACGATCCTATCGAATAACCATTCCTTGACTTCTTTTGCCCGGCAGTTCATGCTAGTCTGGAAGAGGACGCGGTGTTTATCTTCTTCAGTGTTTCGCTTAGAATATTTTTGTCCAAAGAGGCTTAAGACGGTTATCCTTTGTCAAATCGATACTTAATCAGAGTGAGTAAGTGATCGAAGCGTATGGCTCACGTGGTATTAACAAGCATAATGGGTCCGTGATGTATATTTAAATTAATTGGACAATGGCATTACACCTCAGTGGCGACATAAACTCTCATCTCTTTCTCTAATCAAGGTAGCACGTCTCAATAAGCTTAAGGGCATGAGAATTTAATTTGATAAATATCACGGCCTTTTAATCTTCTCACCAACTGCAGTTCGGTGTTTGGTTTAATGCGAAAGGGACGTCTTTTCCTTGCGACAGAGACTACGTTAATTTAATTGAACTGAGGTTAATTTGATCTTTCTTTCCCATCTACTTCCGTGCCCTTTCCCTGTCTTTAAAACAGATCAATAAGTAAGCTGACAATGAAATGACTTTAGCTCGCTAAAGGTCGCCATCTTGTTTTCACCGTGGAGTGACACCTGATCACCAGATCCGGCGAATGCTACTGCGCATGACAAAGTAAGATCTCAGAAATCTCCGCAGCAAATGAAACAGCGTGATATTGCATTGTAATTCAGTGGCTGTCGTGACATTGTACAAATGGATTGAAGTTTAGTTAAGGACAGGGGACGCCAGCTTTACGTATTGAGGTTTTGTTACAGGCAGCAGCCGGAGACGAAAAGATATCTTGTCAAACTCTAATGTTATAAATTGACGTATTCTTCTTGCGTGCGTGCGTGCTTGCATGCACGCGCGTGTGCGTGTGCGTGTTCATGTAAAACTAAATCTGAGGTTCTGAAGTTATTGCATATGTAGTAAGTAAGTTATTCTTTTGTATTTATAGTTTGTTTTGTATTTGATACACATTATCCAGATATATGCGATGGCTACACAATCAATGAAAAAGAAAACATACAGAATGAGTCATGGTATATTACACGATAAAATACTAGGGCTGCGCAATATAACCGGTTTACCGGTATTTACCGGTTCAGACATGAACATGATACGTATTGCGATACGCTGATCGAAAACCGGTATTTTGACATGCATTCGGAAAACTTCGTAACACTCGGAAATCTTCGGATATTTCCGTTTTTTGAATTGTTCTTTTCCCTGTTTCATAAGTGCCAAATGTTACTTACATTTTTATTTTGTCATGATTAAAAGTTTTTATTAAAGGTTAATCATAGTGATTTTGTTGTGTTTTTGCTTTATAATCAAGCATTAACTCGATTATAAATAGTTTTTGTTAAAAAAATAATTCTTGCAATATATTGCAATACATATCGCAATATATGCTTCCGCATCGCAATATATCGCAATATGAAAATTCTCTGCAATACCCACCCCTATAAAATACAGCTCTATAATGGGGTGGTTCCTGGACTTATTCTTAGTGAGTAGGTTTGAGAATGTTAAGGATATGCTCATTTTTCATTGCATTGATGTTTGTGAGACTATTCGGGTTATACCAAATCTAAATCCCTGTTCACACAATGTATTTGTCCGAATTTCGGGGACCGAATTATATGTAGGGAATCATCACTATAAAAATACGGGTAAAGATATTTAAAGCTGAGAAATGTCAGAAACACTCTTAGAGAAGCTGTACCTAGTGCTGATATTGTATAAAGGAAGCAGTAAAACACGACAATAAAACACATCAGACTGCGCCCCTCGTGGTTTATTCTCCCTGTTGGGTTTTATTGCACGATAAACAGCCCCCCTCGTCGTTTATTTACTAAATAACACTATCATGTAGATATGACACGCGGTGTCGATATGAAAACCCCGTTAATTCAGAAACCCATCTTAATGGCATTATTCCTGTTGAGCAAATGTTCGTAATTTGAAGAAACTGTAGTTTGAACAGACTGGAAAAGTGCTAATGTAGGTTCAACAGTATTCATTAAAACAAATTGTGACAAATGTTCAATATAATCTATGTGACAAATTATGAAATCGTGATAAGCTTAATGGCTGTTAAAGAAGATAGAAGAGAATTATAGTCTCACAATACAATACACAGCATTTTCTCTAATTACCAGGGATGTTCTGAAACAAGGGTCAATGACAATTGGGCGTCAAATATAGCTTTTATTCTTTGCACTGTACAAATTAATTGCATGCGTGTATCATATAAAAAAATCTGATGTTATGTATATGGTGCTTATTTGGCAATTTGTTGCAGGTTCGCAACGAAGCGGGCTGATGTCACCACTGATGCATTGTGGGTCATTTCGCCTCCCCTTACTCCATTCCGTGTTTTTAAAATGACTTTTTAAACTAGGTTTTCCTTGCTAAAATTACATTTATAAGCGGAAAACAGGACACGTTTGGTTGTTTAATGATATTCAGCAGGATCTGACGAAGTAAGGACCCAGAAACCAGGTGTTTCGTAAACTCATTTAATTTGTTCATTAAGTGCACGAAGATGTCATTGTTTCTTATCAAACTGTAATCAGATCTAACAAGACATTTAGATACTACCAGCTACAAAGATAAATACTCGGAAACGTTCCCAAAGAAATATTAAAAGGAAAAACAATAAACATATCGTGCATCGTTCCTATCAGTTTATAGAATCAAGTCATGGAATATACAGTGACTTTATTCAGTTGATTAATATTATTTTGTTCTTTCATTTTGTTATGCTTTACAAATTCGATATAGGTTATGCGATATGTTGATGATAGTAAACGGAATACAAAGACGAAAGTGTATTAGCTTGTCATACTAATAGTTCTTCTACGTATTTACTTATTATGAATATTTCATATAAAATATGATCTTCTCCACTACATATCAGTCGTCCAAGTACGACTATCGTGTAATGTTTCCTCCAGGAATCACTAACGGGTAATGTTTTGCTGATTATTCTTGGTGTAATCTCGATAGTACTTGTATAATGTCTTCAAGCAAAGCATACACGATATCACAAAGTCATTAATGTCTTTTTCCAAGGTCGTTACAGTGTAAGTTTCGAGCACTTTTGTTGATGGTTGATGTGAACTTTATATTCCTTTCTAACCAAGGGCAAGGAACAACATTCATAATGTCTTTCAGTGGCATTTAGAAGTTGTGCATTGATGTCCAAGATATTTTTATGGATTAAACTTCTTTGTAATTTCTCTCACGACGTTTCGAGACCATTACAAAGAAGTTTAATCCATAAAAATATCTTGAACATTCATAATGTTTACATAGAATTCTTCTTGGAACGAAAGAAATGCATATCTATAGCTGTCATTGAATATGTAACTAAACATATTTGACATTCAGATATTTGACATTTGATTCAGACCAGGTCTTCTGGGTCTTCTAAATATTGAAATCAATGGAAGTATAGTTTAGTCGCTATGTAATGAAAATACAAAGAGAGATCTTCAAAACCTACCGTTGTATATGCACCAGTTTGTAAAAGAATATTTTATCACACATATAAATCCAAATAATGTTGATCTATGGTCATTCCGAACAGAAAACGTTACAATAACTGATGTTGCGTATTCAACATAAATATCCATGTTCATTATCATTATGTTATTTAGGAAGCACCAACCACATCTTTCATACGACACGGTCCTTCAAACCAGTTTGTAAAAGAATCTTTTTTATCACCAAAAAATCCAAATAATGTTCATTTCTGTTGAATGAATCCATGTGTTGGTCATTTCGAACAGACACGATTATAATACCTGATTGTGCATATTCAACATTAATATCCATGTTTATTATCATTATGTTATTTAGGAAGCACCAACCACATCTTTCATACGACACGGTCCTTCAAACAGTTTGTAAAATCAACATTAATATCCATGAATCTTTTTATCACCAAAAAGTCCAAATAATGTTCATCTATGTTGAATGAGTCAATGTGTTGGTCATTTCGAACAGACACGATTATAATACCTGATTGTG